CAGTATTAAAGATTAGGGATGAGGTTTGTAGTGGAAAAGTTAAACTCAGTTTGTGATACTGTAGGAGATTAAAGCACACGTGTAACTGGGTCATTCAAAAACAACAGTATTGTGCTTAAAAGGCAAAAGGAGAATCATTTTATTCATGAACATTCTTCAAATAACTTTATAAAAAACACCTGCTTTATTTGGATACATAACATATATTTATGCTTGATAATGCACTTTTAGAATATATAAATGTTTAAGCTCAGGTAAATGCGTTCAGAGAGATTATTACAGTAAAACATATGTGCGTATGTGCACGTTGCTGACGTTCGCTGTGGTCACACAGCGATGCTTCACACCTTCGTCATGTTGGCGATGACTAGAGAGGAGAGAGAAGGTCAAATAAGATATGTGTAATTAGGTTTGAATATTTGTATAAGGCTTTAACTAGACTGACTAAAGAAGCAAATAGATTCTAAAATATCTCAAAGATATTCGATATAATTAGTGGTTTGGTCTCTAAAATGTCAGAAAATACTGAAAAAATATCGACCAGAGCCTCCCGAAGGCCAAAAATATTCAGTTTGCTGTCACAGAGGAGGAAAGAAACCAGAAAATGTTCATATTTAAGAGGCTGGAAACAGAATTTTTACATTTTTCTTATAGACACCCAAATTGATTTGACAATAGTTGACGGTTGCAGCTCTAACTCACTGTTTTTGCCATGAATTTACTGTATTTCTGCGTCTTTATCATCATGGATCAGGTGTGAAATTAGGCTGCTATCGATGACTAATTCACCTAAAGATGCTTGTGCGGGCTGCTCATGCCGTCGCTAACGAAGCGTGACAGTGTAATATATCAGAAAAAAACTCTACTTGTCTTGATTCCAGTCACCGTGAAACAAAGCAAGGGTTTAATCTAACCCTCTGTGGTGCTAGAACACATGCACAAGCTGCTACTGTTCTTCTGTTTTCTTTTTATTAATAGAAATAATAGTAAACAAAAGCTCAGTCAAGTGCTTTGTAGTTGTTGACTGATGTTTCTGAACACATAAAAGTGACACCAAAAGCCACAGCGTAGGCGTTACCATCCATTTGGTCACTTAATATTTCTGTACGAATACTGTTGGGTTTTTTTTGTGTGTATGTGTCTTTGTGCAACTTACGTGTCTGGACCCATTTGGCCGTGGGATCAGCACAAACCTTTCTTCTATTTGTGGTGGTGAGGCTGTAACAGAAAAGACAGTGAGGGACGGTGCGCGTCTTCACGTGTGCGTGCAGGACGATGGTGTGCAGACTTACATGATGGCGTGCACGCAGGGATCTTTGGCAGGCTGCTCGTGGTACTTGTTGTCAGTCACGCTGCTGCTCACGTTGGCTCTGCTCACCTCCACGCAGCACATTCGACTCTTCCCGCCCGGGTGGCGACCTGAGGGTACTGAGAGGGATGGAGTGTATTTAGACAAAGTATTCCAAAGCAGAAAGTCACATGAGAAGGAAATGCACGGCTTTGCATTGGTCTGTAGCGGATGGTATCGTGAGATGCAGTTTTGCTTTTATGTTATTAGAAACAGTTTGGTTGTTAGCATGTGGCGCTAATAGCTCAGGAAATAGAGAATACCCATTGTGACTGCAGGTTTACTGGTTAGCAGCTCGAATCCCCTTCGTTGTGTTCTTTTGTGCAGTATTTATAAGCAAAAAACATCAATGCAGTCCCCTGAATGTTAAGTGTAATCATCGTGTAGCTGCATTATGTCGTGCCGTAGATCTCGTTGTTCTCTGTTTCCTGTTCGTTTAGACGCTGTCACTTGCCAAAATACCGAGAGAGACGCTACATGAGACTCTACTTGAGTTTCAGGAAACTGCAAATATCTTGTGTCACAGCGTAGAAAGTGAGAGTGTGACTGATGAACATGTGAGATTAAAAATGTAGTTTGTTTGAATGTGTATATTGAGCAGATGCTGAAGTCTGTGGTAGGAGAAGTGTTGTTTGTCTGTTGTGTTTATATTTATCTGTAGATACAGGCCTCCAGGTCAACTCCTTACATTTGGGAATTTTTGCAAGTACATATTGGTAAATTCTTTTTTTTTTTTTTAAATATATTTTGGGGCTTTTGTCTTTGTTTTAGAGCAGTAGAGATATACAGGTAAGGGGGAGAAGAATGAGGAGAGACCTGCAGCAAAGGGTTGTGAGCGGGAGTCGAACCCACGACCGCTGCATTGGGGAACTATAGCCCCTGTTCATTAACTAGGTGAGCTATAGGGACGCCCGACGTTGGTAAATTCTTAACACAATATGTGAATAAAGGTGCATATATATTTTCTGTTCATTTCATCAAGATGAACTGGGACTTAGCCGTGTTGCATTGTTCTGATAATTTCTGACTCCTCTCTGCTTCAGTTTGCCGGGAGGAAGGCCGCTCTTCAAAGCAGGCAAACTGACACCATGCAGGACGAGTTTCTCAGAGAAACTGTGCTTTTTTTATTTTTAATTTTTAATTTTTTTCAGCATTTCTGTCATGATTGTTTAAGCTCTGACAGCAGAAGCGACGGCTGCTCTCTTTGCAGTAACTGCAGTGCATAATATCGGCTGGTTTATCATACCTCAGCTTGAGATTTTAATCGCGGCGGTACTCGCACCAGAGAGGAAGTGTGTAACCCAGGCTGTTCTCCATAGATGCTACGATTTACCCGTGATTCCAGGCTAGAAACTGAGAAGCCTCTAGTCTCCTCACTTAGTTACTGCAACGCAAGCAGCCGTGTTGGGCGAAAAATAGTTATGTAGCGTCCCTATAGCTCACCTAGTTGATGAACATGGGCTATAGTCCCCGATGCAGTGGTCGTGGGTTCGACTCCCGCTCACGACCCTTTGCTGCAGGTCTCTCCCCAATCTTCTCCCCCCTTTCCTGTCTATCTCTACTGTTCTAAATAAAGGCAAAAAACTATATTTAAAAGTCTATTTAAGAGTCAAATGAGGCGTTCTAATGTCAGATTTACTCGAGTAAGTTGGAGGGATCTTATCTCTGTGGACGAAGCTAAATGTTCACTGACTTTTGGTCACATGTACAACAAACTTTTTGCTCCCTGGAGCCCTAAAATATCAATATATCTAAATACATACGCACTGGTACACATGTAAGACACATAAAAATGCACACGCATGTCACGTAAGCTGCAAGAACACAAGGAGCGCATCATGAACAAAACAAACTTGACGACTGAACATCAGTACATGTGATGATATGAAGCAGAAGTGACTCTAAACATAACCTGCACAGAAAAACCACAGAGATCAACATGAAAGAGGCCTGTGATGAAACTCAGGTTAATACAATCATCTCTAAAATCCTGTAGCAGCACTGATTGCTTGTCACAATTATATCAGTGATAAAATTAACATTTGATTTTCAGTACTTACTGGCGCCTGCAAACGAGACGAAGCAGACGCACACGGAGACCAGGAGGACGGCGACGGACAGCATCTTGGCGGACATTTTGACCGACGGAGTGGACGACGGATCAGGTTGAAGCTGCAGCAGCTGATGGCGTATTTAACGGTGAGTGCGGAAACTTGTTTTGGTCTTGTAGTGGGTTCGTTGGGGGGGCAGGACTGACGGTGTGTTGCTGTGTGTGTATTTGCGTGTCTGCTGTCTGTGTGGTCGTGGTGCTTTCACACCTCCTCCCCCCAATTAGAGAATCTTTTTAGATCGAACCACCGACAGTGAAGACTTTCTGAGAAACAACTCGGCGTGTTTTTGCGCACGCAAACCTGTACACTTCACACAGACATCTCAGGCCGAGTGCGCGAGTGACACAGAGGATGATTTTAGTTTTCCACTTTGACGATGACTGGTTGTCTTTGGTAGTGGAAACAAAACCACACAGAGGCTGTAATTATTAAGCAACATGGAGACTTTTTGCCATTCATTAATTCACTTCTAACACATGTAATGGCAAGTTTGAAGGGAAAAAAAGTCATTCCAAGTTTAGTTCCTCTTCAGTTTTCTCTCAGTTCAGGTAGAAAAATGACTCATGTTGTGACTTAATGCTTTATGTGACTGATATTTTGCTTTTGTTGCCCTATTAGGTATATTTAAAGAATTTGAGCCGTGGCTTACGCTCTAAGCAAAAAAAAAAAACATGCACGCAGTTTCGATTTGAGTACAGAAATCCAGATACCATCTTACACTTTGTTTACTGCGTTGAGGTTCCCACACAAAACTGATGCCACAAATACACCAGGGTTGATCGTTTGGCCTGATGAAAACTTTTTGCTTCGTCACTGCTTCTCAGAACAGTCCGGTTTTGTTGCGTCAGTGCTTTGACGTTTGAGGGGCCGCTGGAAATCTCTCAAAACTTCGGCAGCACAAATCAAACGCAATTCTACAATTTCATGTAGCAAGCGCTTTAATCTAAAGTGACGTACATCTGAGAGCAGATACAGCACAAGATCTAGTCAGCAGAAAACAATCTAGATAAGAGCCACAGAACAGGTTCAAGTGTGGGACGTAGTAGGATTTTCTGTTTTTGTTTGTTTTCAGTCTGTCAGGTGCAAAGGTGTTCAGTGAAGAGCTGGTGATTAGTCTTTTCTGAAAGGCTGAGAGGTGGTCAGCAGATTGAACAGAGTTTGGTAACTCGTTCCACCATCGAGGAACCACAGAGGAGAAGAGTCCAGCTATCGACCTCGGGCCTGTTGTGGTGGTTGTGTCAGGAGGTTTTTGTTGGTCGAGCGTAGTGAGCAGGAGGGAGTGTAGATCACCTCTTGCCTCTGAAACCGTAGCAATAACTGCACTGCCTGATCATTTACTCAAAGCACTGCACCGTGTCTTGCCGTTTATTGTTTGTTTTTTTGTATGTAAATGCAAAGATGCTGCAAGAGAGAAGCTGCAGGTATGTTTAGGTTTTTTGGATGAGTCATAGGGAACAACTTGTGGGTGAAGTAGTGAATTTTAGAGAGTAATGCAGACCCATATGCTGATAGAGCCTTGCGGTCTCTTTCTACTCACCACACCACACCACGTAGCTACTTAGCTTCAGCTGCACAATGCTAGTAAAACCTGGCATTATGATAGCAGGTTTATGAGAGTACAACCACTGCAGCCTTGTTCACTTTTTCATAACGTGCTCACCACATTGTCTGTTGTTATTTCGAAGCCCTTACACAGCTTCTTTCATCTCTGTTGTGACGTCCTCACTTGCGTTGTCATTCGGGCAAAATGCAAACAGAACCTTTTAAACCTCAAGTTCTCATTCATAACGTGGACGATCAGACTTGTGTGGGGCTCTGCTGGATGCCCTGTAGCTGCATAACAGTCCACTTTTAACAGCTCCGCTTCAACTTGCATGCTTCATGCAGCTTTGGGGGACAAACCAAAGACGAACAGGTGCATGATGGTGTTACGTGGTGTTTGCCGGTTGACTGCATCGTGTTTTTAGAGCACTGTTTGGTCCGCAAAGTGAGAAGTTACTGCATCTGTGATTTATTTCTGTTTTGTGGAACCGTTCTCATGTGGTGTAACACTGGAACAGGCTTCAGTGGCATTCACTTATACAGAGCGCCAATTTAAACAGTCAAACAAATCAGTTGCGTTGCCTCATTTACTGGAATCAGTGCCTGTTTTTGGTCGGTGTCATCCTTTTTGTTAGCCCACGTAAGTCCATACAGCTGACTTTTCTTTTTGCAAACAAATCTTTGCTTTTCAGTGTTTTTCCTCTGCTGCGTGTCAACAAACTCTCTGTCTTGTAAGTTAGAAAACAAGCTGAGCGTACACAAGAGCCCTTAAATCGGAGTAAATTACAGGACTTCTCTTGCGTCATGAAGTTTTCTTCTTGCATCAAGCAGCAAAACAAAGTCGTAGCGTGAAGTGTTTGAGTTAACCGGCTGCACTTCCTGCCTTGTGCGCATCACAGTGTCAGTGATCTATCGCACAGCCCTACACTTATTAAAACAAGTACGGAGCAGGATAAAAATTGTTCATTTTAAACCTAATTAATATACAGTCGTGTAGAAGTTGTAGACGCTGAGCTGTCAAGTTAAGACAGAAGGAAAAAAATCAATTCTAGTCAAATGGCTTTATGAGTCTGGCCATGTTCAGATGCTCTTTACGATCAATGTGGAAGACATTCAGAACATTTTTACAGAAAAGAAGCCATGAAAATGACAAAACAAATGGAAATAAATGAATAGTGAGCCATCTGGAGAATAATTCAGATAACAAGAATATAACCAGTATGTGAGTCTTAAAGAAAAGAGACATGAATTCATGTTATTGAGCGCAGCAACGGTTAGACAATCTGTAGTTGTACGTTGTATACGCACTCAGTAAACTGACAATGTTCATTTGTAAACTTTAGAAAACTGTAATCAGACATTAAATTTGCGACATTGTGTGAGTGACTGCAGCTCTGTTTCTACGACAGGTTCTTCACAATGTTGACACAGTTGCTGCTATTCTTGCCGCCATACTTTTTATATACCTGCCTGCTGCTGGTGTCAGACTGTGTGGTCTGTGTTTAACATCCGCCTCTGTGCTCAGGTACACAGTGAACTGACTTTTGAGGGCCAGTTCACTGTGCAGTGAGTGATTTTGTGTTGGAATAATAAGCATTTTTGTTGTTTGTATTATAATTTGTTTGTCTCTGATGGCATCAGGAGGCGACTTGTGTTCGTTTTTGCTCATCTTTTAGCACTTTGTGGCTTTGTAGTGGTGGGATTGTGCTCTGCAGCTGGGATAGAGCGCCTGTATCCTGGTACTAATCCTATCCAACCGGTCGTCAGACTGGGTCCGGGTCAACTGAAAATAGTGCTGGAAGCGGCCGTCAGCCAGGCGCAGCTCCTGGAGAAGGTGATGGAATTCCTCGAGTTGTGTGCGTCTCTGGAGGATCCGGTGGACCCAGACACAGCAGCGTCTGGATTTGCATCATTCGCGCAAATGACGCGAATCCAGACACGAATCTCGGCGCGCTAAACTCGTGAATGACGCTAATTATTTGCGCGAGTAAACTCAGTGCATACACGCGTCCAAAGACGCACAATAGCGTGACGAATTCAAAGTATGATAGTTTTAACAATTAATCGATTTTGATCAATCACGTGACCGACTGTCGGTTGTGGGAATTGTCCAGAATTGCACTTCCCTTCATTAGATTTTCACTTCCACAAGGTTGAACAGATTCCATTGACTAAAGTATGATGACCCGCATTTAAAATGCAAACTGAATGTGAATTTGTCTTTTGGCAGTTCTGGTGTCTCACTGTGGTGAAACCAGCAAGATGACTGGAAGGAGAGCATGACCATGAATGAGTTACACAAACCTAAAATACCCTCAGTGTCAGCAGCTTCATACGTTGTGGTTTTGACAAAGCCTTGTAGGAATCATGTGATTCAGAATACAGACATTCAGAAATGAATAGACTCCGACTCAGCAAACGGATGTCAGAATTTATTCCAAGAATGAAACCATGAATCAGCACAACCACTAGACAGGAAGTCATTCGGACGGTTGGAGTGTGGGATAATACTGATGAATGAAGAGGTAATGTCATGAGGCAGAGAGGAAGAGAAAGGAATACCGAAGATCCTCTTTAAGATACTACAGAACGTCTCAGATTTGAAAAGTAGTAAAAGGTTGAACCTGTTGCTGGAATCATCTCACTATGAATATATTTTAGATTCTGAAGATTGACATTTGTTCAACTTTTCTGAGTTGTTTAAGCAACTTTTCTGTATTTCAGCATGTTGTCACTACTTCGTTAAGACTGAGTGTTTAAATATTCGGCCACTTGTTCCTTTTGGTTTCTTCACGTGAAGGTCACACTGTGCTTAAACAAACCAGTTAAAACAACTTCAGACGAAACCTGGAGGCCCAGGTGTTGACACGGTGCTGGTCGAAATCGCCAAAACATTCATCACGACAAAAAGCTTGATTTCAGTCGATATCGAACACTTGAACCACTTGAGCCTTTTTATCAAGCTACACTGGTAAAATGTAAATGGTACCACAACTGTGAAAAACATTCATTTACACACATAAATGAAAATAACAATGACACAGAAATAAAAAATAATAAAAATAGAAATATAAATAGCGACCACTGCGTTGCATCCAGGCCGTCAGCCAAGGCTGCTGGGTGGTGGGGGGGCACCGGATAGTGGGTGTTTTTAGATCGCTAAACCAACTTGCTGTAAGGTCTGCTTCCTGTCAACCACAAACACCTTCAGGGGAGATCTGGGTGGCTGTGGCTCAGGTGGTACAGCGGTTGTCCTCTGAGGCTGGTTGTTCGATCCCCCGCAGTCAAAGTCCTTGGGCAAGACACTGAACCCAAAAGTTGCTGCCAATGGTTGTCGCCATTGGTGTGTGAATGGGTGAATGAGAAAACTTTCTAAAGCGCTTTGAGTACCACCAAGGTAGAAAAGACCATTTACCATTTATTTGAGGTGGCCACAGACTCAGCAGCCTCAGGAGTCCTTCCTGGAAGCCAACAGGGAGGGTTACGAAGCGCAAAGGGGCTCCGTTATCAGTTTATCATCAGCTGTTTATGAGACTTGTTCAGGCAACCCAACTTTGCGTTTTCGTCATTCCTGCTAGTTTGCATCTGATGCATCTAAACAACACTATGAAGCAGTCTATTGAACCGTTTCCTTGTTTGTTTTTGATGTCTATTCCCCGTACATATCGCTATCATCTCATCACCTGGGCCTGTGGCGACACAATAGTGGGTTATGGTTTCACCCTGCAGGCATTTATGCACTTGTACTTGATGTGACATACGATTATTCTCACAAGTAGTTGTGTGTAGAAGGAAAAAAAGACACAGTCTCTGCAAATCCAGCATAGAACAGATGTGTGTTAGCAGAGCTGGTAGAGGTTTGTTCCCAGTGTTTGAAGATACACCAAGTGCTTTTTTGAAGCAGGACAATACTTTTTCCAAACATCATGTAATTTAATAAGCATCAAGCAGTCATTTGTTGTGACGCAGCAGCGGACGATTGACGCATGACTTTACTGCATGGCATTACTGCATGTACACTTTGACATTAACCCCAAAGAAACAGAGGTTGGCTTCTCTAAAAGTGTGAAAGTTTGAGGGAGGAAAAAAAATGGCAAGATCGACTTGTGTTTTTGGTGGCATTACTCATATTTGGATGTGAAATTGTGAGATAATCAGCAGCTTTGATTGTCATATTCATCGACCTAAAAGGGCCTTTTGTTGGACTGTGATGCACAACAGACGAAGCAAGACTTGTCTACCTCCAGTAAAAACAGTCAGTTTAGCCTAATTTTCTTGTTATTTCTAACCAATTTACAAACAAAAATATCTATTACGCTTCAGCGAATATAATCTAATCACACAAAACTCTTTAACTCGTCTTTGGTGGATGTCAAAAGTTTATCTATGTAGAAAAAACAAACCCTGCTTCTAGCTTTTTTTCTTCCTTTGCAGAGATAAGTGTCAGAAACATCTGTCAGATAAGCGTAAGGAGATAAACACTCAAACAGATGAACACAGGATGCAGAATCACATGTGCAACGTTTATTTCTGACCAATGTTTTCACAGTTGTGCAACTTCAACTTTAGATTATAAGCTATGACAAGCCTTCCAATAATAAATATGTCAAAACATTTCCTCAAGACAATTTCGCAAATGAAAAACAGGAAACAGAACATTAAACTGTTCACGAAGCTGTAAACAGTAATAAATACGTTTGGTAATAAATATAGTCTGTTGCGTTAACACAGGTCAACTAGTTTGAGCTAATAAATAACGTCACTCAAAAGGAATTTAAAGAAACTAAATATCCAAAACAAAGTAATAATTTAACAGAAATTGGGTGTGCAAGTGCTCTTTTAAACATTAGTTCACATCAGCGTTGAGGCCGTAACTTCTACTCAAACTTCAGGACTCTCGCCGCTGCTTTCCGGAAGTTTCTCATCAGCTGGCATCTCAGAGGTCGAGGAGGAGATGGAAGGAGAAGAGGAGGAAGAGGAGAAAGAGGAAGAGGAGAAAGTGGAGGAGGAAGAAGGAGAGGAGGAGGGGGAGAAAGTGGAGGAGGAAGAGGAAGAAGGAGAGGAGGAAGAGGAAGGGGAAGACGAAGTAAATGGGGTAGAAGAAGAAGTAGGGGAGGCCGTGGATGTAATGATGGCGAGGAGGGAGACTGGAGACGAGGCGACCACAGACTGAGTGGTGGCCTGAGCTTTTGCTTTCCTGTGAGGAAAAAATAACAAAAAACAAAAAGTTAGTCAGTTTGGATTTAAAGGGGGGAGAAAAAAAAACAAGTCTACAAAATCCCAGATGAGCCGGTAAATAAATGAAAAGTGACGCTGAACTCACTCGAATGCAACAATCTTGCGGCGAACCCAGGGAGCCGTCAGCTGGCTGCAGAAAAGACCCGACTCTGTCTGGAAGCTGGAGGAAACAAAAGGAGCGTTAACACCTTTAAAATACAAGAGTAGCATCAATAGGTGCATAATTAATTTATAGTTTGATATAATGAGCTTAACTCGAAACCATCCATCATTTGGACAGTAAAAAAGCAATACGACTTCTTTTTTTTCTGTTTTTTACCAAAGTTTGCCCCATAAGATCAACAAGTAGAACATTTTAAAAAATCAGGAGCCTCTTTAATCTCTTATCAATCGCTTTTCCAGACTTTTGTTCCTTCCAGGTGTCAAGTTCTGAAAGTTTTTTTTTTTAATTTTTCAACTCTTTGTACTTACATGACGGCCCTGACACATGGAGGATTGGGTTTCTGGACCAGGTATCCCAAGATCGGCGTCGTTATCTCCTGCTTGCTGACCGTCTTGCAGCAGGACGCCAACTTTTCTGCTGAAGATGAATTAGAACAGAAGTGAGTTTTGAATACTGGAATTTCTAACAGAGAGAAAAAGCCGTCGTAGTTTGTCTAAAGCTCCGTCTCACCTTCTGCTCCGGACCTGACCACGGCCACCAGGACGATGGCGACCAGCGCGTTTTTCAGCAGGCTTCCAAAGTTGACCATTTTCACAAAGTTGGATAAAGATGAGATTGAATGAAGAATTGTCTGCTGGTCTTTCTTCCTCCTGTGAGAGAGCGCCGTGAACTGACAGGCTTCTGGAGACATCAGCTACTTATAGGGCAGAAAGCAGAAGTGCACCATCGGGTTAGTCATACTTTTCTTTTTGTGCCTCCGTCTTCATGTGAATGAACGAAACGCTGATTTTTAGGGAAATTCCACCAAGTGACCGGCAACTTACCATCCGGACTTACTTTCATCACACTTTGGAAAATTAAGTCACGCTTATGTGGACCGTCAGATTGTGGGGGCGTTGGGAATGCCTCCGATGGCAGAGGTCACGCTCGTGTTACAGCTTCAGTTCATCTTTAATTAAAGTTCAATTAATAAACAAAAAGCTTCTGAATCAGAACTTTAAAACAAGCTGGTCAAGGCCTCATGTGAACGGGTGATGGCCGTAAGATAATGGCTGCTTTATTTTCTCAATAAAAATAAAATATGAATAAAATGTCTTTTTTTTTTTTTTTTTTAGGATCAAGCTATTCTGATTAAGCAGAAGTCACTTCTTTGGCATTTATGTCACTCGTGGCTTTCGTAATACTTCAGGGCAGGACATGCTCCGGCATGAACTGACGCTCAGTGACACACGGACGTGTCACAACATAGACCTCTGAGCTCCCATCCAGTAAAACGGTCCAGAGCCAGAACCGGCATCGACACGGAAAATACTGCTCATGATCCACTGTAGTCACCGTTTCACTCGTGACAGATAAGAGTGTAGTTGTAATGAAAGTGCAGTGAATAAGCAGAAGTCAGTAACTGAACGCTAACATGCATCCTCTGAACCCCACATAGTCACGATTTTACTCACCGTGGGATCATTTTTCACTGCCATATAAAGTCCTGCACCTGTATGGAAGCAGCCCAACCATGACTGGAAGGAGAGAGAACTCAGATTTCTTAGTTATGACGCCATAAACCCTAAAAACAAGGAACAAAAGTCCAATTTTTTTTGTTTTACTTTACAAAAATTGGAATCAACATAGACAAAATGTGTCCGAGTGCCCTCAGACATAACCACTATGGGGGATAATGGGAGCTCCCTCTGCTATTAAAGCCAGTTTGACTTGACCTATTTACAGTTTTACAACCTCCACATTACTACGTGTTGTCCACACACAAGAAACATACAGTTGAAAGCAGAAGTTTACATCCACTGTATAAAAAGACACATGACTTTTCTTTTTCTCACAGTCTGACATTAAATCAGACCAAACTTTTCTTGTTTTAGGTCAGTTAGAATGACCAACAATATTTCTATTTGTTTAACGCCAGAATAATGAGAGAGAGAATTGTTTATTACTTTAATGCAAAAACTGATAAAAGTCACTGGATCTTCAACTTTCCGATGGTCCTTCATGTGGGATGTGCTGTTCTGTCGGGGAAAAATAACCAAATTTAAAAATCTTATTTCATTAAAATCACCAGAAATACAATGTTTGCACCAGATTGTGTAAAAATCTAAAAAGTTCCTTTACACGACTGTGAAGCCGTGGCTTTCTCAGCTGAGACTATGGAAAAAAATTAGAAATATAAGTAGGATAATATCTGTGGTATGCAAAGTCACTTTTTTCCAGAGTTGGTAACACCTGTGGACACTTGGAACTGTACGTGTTGATTCCAGCTTCCAGCTCTAGTTTTATATAAGAAGTCATTTTGGATTCAGGACGTCATGATTTTGTCACACCGCACACAGGACATGTCTGAGTTCTGTCTGCTTCCAGTCATGGTTGTTCTGTTTCCATAGAGGTGCAGGATAATATAATGCAGAAAAAATGTGACAAACATCTATGAAGTTGAATTTTGATCAGTCAACGAGCGTGAATTAAAATTTCTGTTCAATCGAAGGCAAAATTAATTGTTAGGAGCATCCCTACATGGGACAGTCACAAGCGTTGTGCTTTCAGAGTTTAATGTGAGGAAATAAATCAAAGTAAAAATAAAACGAACTAAATCACCATGATGGTCCCGTACAGCGTCCACATTACTGCTGACGCTGCTCCACCTCGCGCTCCATTTTCCCATCACTCATGAGCAAGATCCAGAGATACTTAAACTCCCTCACTTGAGGAAGCAACTCTTCCCCCCACCCGGAGGGAGTAATCCACCGGTTTACAGCAGAGGACCATGGCCTCAGACTTGGAGGTACTGCATCCCTGCAGCTTCGCACTCGGCTGCAAACTGCTCCAGTGGTCACAGTCTGATGAAGCCAGCAGTACCACGTTGTCTGCAAAAAGCAGAGACGGGATCCTGAGGTCCCCAATCCGGACACCCTCCTCACCCTGGCTGCCCCTTGAGATCCTGTCCATGAAGACCACAAACTGGATCGGGGACAAGGGCCAGCCCTGGCGGAGTCCAACACCCACTGGGAGCGTGTCCACCTTAATGCCGAGAATGTGGACACAGCTCGCACTTTGGTTGTACAGGGACCGGTTTTAAAGCGAGAACCCTCAAACCAACCACAGGCCCGACTCGTCTTTCCTGCTGCCTGGTTTTGATTTCAGGGTTTTGTGGCCTCCAAACTACGCAGTACATCTTAGCTACTTATGTGATGTCTACATCTGTGTACATCTTTGAACAAATAGAACACAGTAGACCTTTTTGTGCAGAACGATGAGCCCACAGTGATGAACAAATGTGACGGGAGTTTAAAAAACACCTCCAGAAACTGCTTTGAGCTCAGACGAGTAAACGTTTCAAAGGACAGCTGTAAAACCTGCACATCTTTGTAAACAAAGCATCCAACCCCACAAGAGTAAACTGGAGGGAACATGAGGAAGGAAATGCTCGACACTCGGCCGCAATGGAAAGAATAACGAAAGGCGACGGGAAATGACCGGGAATTACATCAGCGTAAAAGCAGAAGCTCCCGCACTGAGCAGACTCTCAGTTTGTTGTGTTCTCGTAAGATGTAAATGAAACCTAAAAGCATCTTTGGCCACTCAGGGGGGTTTTTGCTAGAAAATGCAACTTACAAATCTAAAAACTGTGCTGCTGTTTCGTCCAGTTTGATCCAGACAATTTGAGCCAAACAGCGGAGCGACTGATGCTTTAATGCTTTTCATTCATGTGTCTGTAAGAGGAATTGGAAGGTCGGTTTCAGCCGCCACAGTGGCGCCAAACGCTTCTGGTTGCCCTGCTGACCTCGTTTCAGTCATCGGTGATTAATCTGCAGCTGCTTTTCTTCTCATCTCGGGCTATTTCATTGAAACAGTTGTCATCATCACCATCGTCTCTGCAGAAGGTGTGAGAACTACTCGCGACTTTGCTTTCTGAGAAATACTCGCTGGGCGGGTGTTACTCTGAGGGAATAGATTGCACCGGGGTTATCTAGCATCCATGCAAGCTTGCACACAGCATGGAGAAAGACAAATAGTGGTTTGTTTGGTTTTTAATTAATCATATTTGCACATCAGTTCAGTTGATAGGACAGACTGTGCAATTTGGAGGTGCAAAAAAAACAAAACAGAAAGTAACACCAAGCAGCAGGATTGGAAACATGTGAGTCAGGCCTGGAGTTGCTTTAAAACCTCCACTGTCTTCTTCAGTGAGACTCAAAGTGTAATGTTTTCCTCGCGACTAATTTCACTCTTTATTAAACAGAAATCACGATTTGTTCTTGGCCTAAAAGTAAGAAAACACTCAGGAAACGGCATCATCAGGAATCATTTTTCACTGCAATACAAAGTCCTGCACCTCTAATGGAAACTGTACAGCCGTGATTAGAAGTAGAGAGACCTGAAAGGGATGCGTTTTGTGCAGTATAATGAAGATGAGATGGTGGTGCGCATAGATGCAGCGGCTCCTTCAGGAGACAGCGAGATGTGTCTTGTCTATCCCAGATGTTCATTCCACAAAACTTACAGCCGAGAGACTTTGCTGAACATCAGGACAGTGAACGTTGCTAAAGTTGCGGCGATCAGTTGTGATGTGGACATACTACACCAACACGGAGTCCGATCGGAGACTACGCTGACAGTTACCCGAGAGAGAAGGAAGCGGTACGAACGTAAACAAAGGAGGAGGAAGAGAGCCAGGATCCATGCTAGGCTAAAGGCTAACCCCTCCAGACGAGCAGGATCCATGCTAGGCTAAAGGCTAACCCCTCCAGACCAGCAGGACCGTCCTCCTGCTCTCCAATGTCCGCTCCCTCCACAACAAGCTGGACGAGCTACGTTTGCTGAGAGAAACCCTCAGAGAGTGGAGGGACTGCTGTGTATCTGCTTTAACAGAAACATGGCTCCATGACATACAGCTGGAGGGGACAATATCGGACAGACAGACAGGCAGCTAGCTTTGAGCTTTTCCAGAGCCACTGCAGGAGCAGGACACTGAACACTGTCAGGACTCCTCACACCCTCCCCATGAACTGTTTGAACTGCTGTCATCAGGAAAATGTTTCTGGAGCACCAAAGGAAGAACCTCCAGACTGATCAACAGCGTCATTCCACAAGCTGTCAGAATGCTGAACTGCTGATCCAGACATGCAAACACTTCTTTATTTAATTGCTTGTAGTTTTTGGATTCTGAAGAAACGCTCTCTCATCTTGTTTGTACGACTGTATGTACAGCTAAATGACAAACCTGATTTGATTTGGTTTTGATTATGTCATAAATCCTAAAAAACATGAAAAAATAGTCACATTTCTTTGAGTGTTCATTAAAAAAAAGAAAAAACAGGAAAAAAAGTCCTCAAATCATCATGTGCAGCACTTTTATGTCCACAGCTACTGGAAACAAAATACAGACTCTACATGCTCTCGATGTTTTACTGCATGTACAGTTTAATTTCTTGTCTCCTTGCTGCTCTGTGGAAACACTGCCTGCAGTTCAACTGAAAAAAAAGGTCTCAATTTTTGTGAAATGACTGTTGTTCGCAGCTAAGTGAGTCATAACTTCACAGACGTGCTGACAAACAGAATTCAGTTTTTTTTTTTGTTTTTTTTTTACAGGATCAGGTGCAAATGAGACATGCAGTTAAAATTAATTTTGCTAAAATATCAGGACATTTAAGAGTCCCGTCACGTAGTTCACTTACACAATAACAGAGGTCATTGTTAAGCCGCCAATTCTCTTCAAACAAAAGCTTTCGTGATGGTTCTGTTTCATTGAAGTTTATGGTGTGCAACCATTTTGCAGTATTTTCTATCTGTTGCTGTGTCATAATTACCGAACCAGTGCGTTATA